TGGAGGGCAGCCAGACCGCACGGATAAAGCGCTGGTTTTTCCAGAGCCTACCACGAAGGCAGCAACTTCCTCTACGGCAAAATTCAGGCTGTACGACCCAGGCTGCAGATTTGCTGAGACACTCCGGGGGGTTATTTTAAAGGTGGAAAGGATGTTTTTCACCGGTAATCGGAGATCAGCTCAAAACGGGGAAATCTGACCTGCCACCGTACGTAATATGATTTATTCTGCTACGCCCCAAAGTCACAGATCAACTACTGATTTACCAACACGATATTTTCCAAAGCCTCTTGGCCTATTTTTAGCACATCTGACTACATTAAACGTTTCGCCAGCGTGCCGCACGCTTTTATTTAACAGCAGCAGCGGGGAAAAAGGGCCTTAAAGGCTCTGAAAAAACAGCCAACGCGGCGACGAAACGCTTGAACGCTCTGCTTCAAGCTTTATCAAGGCTTTATCAAGTCATTACTCTACATCCTTGATTAGCCTTGATGATGGCAGGTGCATGGCTAATTTACGGCGTGTTTCTTTCTTACTGGGAACAAGCTGGAGCATCCCCGGCAGGGAAACTGATGCCTCCGCAAACAGGAGCTCGCTAGAGCGGAGTTATGTCTGGGAGAGACATAAAAGCTAAGGAAAAAAAGAGATTTAAACAACAGGGAAGCCAAGGATGTAGCTGATAAACCACCACTCAGCAAAACAACTAAGGTCGGGTCGAACCCTTACGCACACGGACACCAAAGCGCAGCGGGCTGGTAAACGGATATCCGTAGCGGTCCCAGTCGCTGGCAGATCAGCTCACGTTTCTCCAGGTTTTTACCTGTTTCCAGGTAAACCCAGAGAATAACTGGATGTTCTCAGCTCCCACCTTCGCTTGATTTACACCACCTGGTTTTCTCTTAATATTTTCAGAACTTCCAAGCTGGCTCTCACTGCTCGTGTCGGCCTTCGGCGGAGCAAAGGCTACGAGCTTCATGTCTTGAGCAGTGGGCAACAAGGGAGAGATTCAGCTCCCTCCCCCGTAGAGACTCACCATGTGGGCAAACGATGTCTTCATTAAAATTTAACTCCTCTTCCTCCTCTCTCTTCTCCTCAGTGGAGTCATCTAATTAAAAAAAAAAAAATTAAATTAAATAAATACACAAGCAGATTGCACAGAGTTCCCCTTCCCAAGGGAAGGGGAAAAAAAAAAATAAAAAAAAAGCTTTTTGGGGAAAAGGAGCATGGTTGCCTTTCAAATTGTGGCAAAACCCTTAACCCAAGGGAGATTTTGGAAGCAAATTTGTTATTCTCAAATGTCTCGGCCTCCGGGCAGGCAGGATTACAGCCTCCAGCCCCCGTAGGAGTGCTTTGAAGCGCGTGGAGCACAAGCTGGTCCTTTGTGAGATTACAAAGGACTTATTTGTTACGGCTCAAACACCACAGGGCTCCCGCTCCCAGGGATCTCGGAGTTTAACCTAAACACGAGCCTAGGTAAGAGCGCAGCCAGCAGAAACCTTCCTGGCAAAGAATCCATCAGGATGCTGATCTAAAACAGATGCTGCCTGGAACACTAAGGGGGAGGCTGCCAGGGGTTTGACAAGCCCCACATTAATGTCTAAATTATGGTTAAGAACCATGGAGGTCCGTGGACAGAAGCTCTGGCCACCGAATTGGAGCCTCAGCGACACAATTCATGTGTTAGTAAGGGTCTCTCAATGACCTGTCCTACAAAAAAGCTGACCCGTGGGCAATTCAGATGTACTACTGGGAGTTACAACCTGTTGGGAAACCAAAGTCATGACAGCAAGTTGTAACTCAGTGGAGAATTACCCTTTTCTCAACGAATGCTCCACCAGCAGCAGATATTACCGGGAGGGCTGCGGCGTTCTCGGAGCCTTCGGACTCAAAATCGATGTCAATTAGCCCACGGGCTCCGCTTTCACTCAAACACAACGTCTCGCCCTCAGTTCCAAAACAAAAAGCTCAACAACATACCCAGTTTCCAGGGGTTTAAAGGGCAGAAGGCAAATCAAAAAAACCCTCACCTATTCTCATGGGCTCACGATATGGGTATAAAAGAGTTGGATTCCTGATTTTTCTTTCTAGGCTGCATTTCCCCAGTGCTGCGTTACCAGCTGTGCTGTTCCATCCACAGACCTTCACAATAAACATCTCCAACCCTTCCCCAGGGTAATTTTCCTGTTTCTTCCTCCCCTGCGCTCTCATTCCGATAAAAGCGGATGAGAAGATCACGTGTCTGGGGTGGTAATTCGCCACAGCTTTGTAAAACTACTTATTTACCTCCTCTTCTTCGCCAGGTATGAAGATCACCCAGCAGTTTTGAAGCTTATCAAATCAAAAAAAAAAAAGCTCCTTAAATGAAAGAGCTTTTTTGTTTGATTTATGACTTATTTATTTGGTTTATTGAGCTGATTTGTTTCTCTTTCCTCCCTACTCATACGAGGGAAGCAAAACAGCTAGAGGAACACCTGACGTGTCTTTTGTTAGGAGGTATCAGTCAGAGCTGGTGGGTCTCTCCGGCGGCAGAACTACCTTTGTTTTGCCCGTTTCCGTTCATTTTGCCGTTGCTGTGCTCCGCGTCTTCGTCTTGCTCGTTTAATTGCTCCAGAGCCAACTGACGCCAGCTCCGCAAGGACGCCTTCCCAACCCAAAACCCGTCGTTCCTGCAGGAAAAAAACAGAGAACAGTGTCAGCAATGAAAAAAAAAATCACAATTCCGTTCGCCTTCGGAGCCCAAACAGTAAAAATCTTGGGGAAAAAGCTATTTAAGCTCTTCTAAAAAACCCGTCTGATGATGTTTGGAAGCGTTGGGACTTACATACCCCTTGACTGTTATCTTCAGCAGGTTTGTAACGGTTTTGTAGTCCTCGTTCAGCTGGTTTTTCAGTCGCAGGATTCGACACCGTTCTACCACGCAGTCCTTGCAAAGTGCTTTGACTGGGGCGGGGGAAGAAAAAGAAACACAACTGGTGACACGACTCATCGCCCACACGGCTCAGCTTGTCGGTTTGAACTCGCTGGGGCAGGTGTGCACCAACTATCCCGCCTGGAGCCTGGAGATTTCGCAGGTAAACGAGGAGATCCCTGGGGTTACTGCCAGAGCAGCCCACGTTTGAAGCTTAAATAAGCTTAAATAAGCATCAAACACTTCAGACGAGGCACGATCTGCTCCGCTACCTTCCCAGCTTTGCCGCCGGCTAGCAACGGTCCGCGGCGACGGCCGCGTGCCAGGACACGCCAAC